CAGGTCAAGGGAGGTTCTCTTTCCCCTCTACACTGCCCTAGTGAGGCCTCATCTGGAGTACTGTGTCCAGTTCTGAGCTCCCCAGTTCAAGAAAGGTGAAGAGCTGCTGGAGAGAGTCCATCAGAGGGCTACGAGGATGGTGAGGGGACTAGAACATCTCTCCTACGAGGAGAGGCTGAGGGAGCTGGGTTTGTTCAGCCTGAAGAAGAGAAGGCTGCGAGGGGACCTTATAAATGCTTACTAATATCTGAAGGGTGGGTGTCAGGAGGATGGGGCCAAACTCTTTTCAGTGGTGCCCAGTGACAGGACAAGGGGCAATGGGCACAAACTGATGGAAAGGAAGTTCCGTCTGAACATGAGGAAGAACTTCTTCCCTCTGAGGGTGACGAAGCCCTAGAACAGGCTGCCAAGGGAGGTGGTGGAGTCTCCTTCTCTGGAGATATTCAAGACCCGCCTGGACAAGGTTCTGTGCAGCCTGCTGTAGGAGACCCTGCTTCGGCAGGAGGGTTGGACTAGATGACCCACAGAGGTCCTTTCCAACTCCTACCATTCTGTGATTCTGTGAAGGATGCTTCCTGTCTGGTCCCAGGCACAGTAAAAAAAACCAAAACAGTTCACCATCAACTAAATGTCAGGGTGCTGTGTTGAAACTGAATCGGGACAGCCTTGGTTTTGTCACATGCTAACTAGATCCCTCCACCAAAAACACCAATGAGAAAACTCCCAACAAACATATTTGCATTACTGAGGGAAAGGAATGATAGATGGGCAGAAAGACTGCTGTCTGCATCGCTGCTTGGGTGCAGCCAGTTTGGAGGCTCACTCACGCTGTCCTCTTGCCAAGATACGGGGACAAGTCTGCTTCACCCCTAATGTTCGTAGAGATTGATGTGACCCTTCCAGTTTACTTCATTAGGCTTTGATTCAAGCTTTTAGCAGTAATGAGGAGAGGGAAGGAAAATTCCCTAATGGTCTTAAAATACAAGCAAATTTACCCATTTACTCTGCTTATATAATTTTGCTTTTAAGTTATGACTTATTGTATGTACAGGATGTCAATACTGTTCCCTGCAGTTGTGTTTTCTAATCAAACTTTAATCAATTATTCAAATAGAGCCTATCACAGTGAGCTGTCTTAATTAACGGGAGTCATTAGGCAGCACCCTCTTTAATGAGTTATATTAATCTGCTTACAGATTTCTAAAAGGATTTCAGCAGTTCGCATCTTAACAAATTACATGAGCATTTTACTTTTGGGGACTTCATTTCTTTTACTCACAGTGTCTTGGTTACAAATATTTTATGAGTGTATTTGTGACTCATGTTCTAGCAATGGAGTTTTAATAGATAGTTTAATTATTAATGTTACATCCCGGTAGAGAATGTAGTTTTGTTTAAACAAAGAGAAGCAGAAGCCAGGGGTGACCATATGAAAGCAGCTTGACTTCCATGCAATATAAAATCTTTGTGGTTGTCAATATAAGTTAATTGTGTTGTTACAAAAAAACAAATCTGCCATTAGAACGTGCTTCATGCTTGGAAATGTTTATTACAGTGGTAGTCACTAGGAAGTTGCAGCTTGGAAGGTATCGCGTTAAATTGGTGATTCTTTTTGATTCAATTAATCCCTGCCCTCCCTAGGCTCTTGGCAGATTTATTAAACACTTCCAGGAAGTATGAATTCCTTCATTCAGTGTCAATGTGTTTCATAAATAAAAAGTTAATTGCAAGTGTTCATTTAAAAAAAATGATATGCAGAGCAAACAAACCTGTAACAGTAAAAAAAAAAAAAACAGAACCAACAAATTTGTGTAAAAATATAAATTACTATATTTCAAATTGTTCTTACAGAGGTGTTTTTTTTCCACAGTCCTAAGAAAAAGGGATTGTGGTTGATTTGACCTCACAAAACTACTTTGCTTTTCGCTATTAATAGGGATCTTATTTATCCCTTCGACAGATTAGTCTGACTACATTCATCAAAACTAAATCAAGATCTAAAATAGCGTAAGAAGAAGGAAAGAAAAGCATATGCATTAAACTTTGGTAATGCATACTTTGTGATGTTGATAGTACAGGAAATATTCTGTCCTGGCCACTCTATCATGCTAGATTATATGAACAGGTATAACCGCTATCTTGGGGGAAAAGAAGAGAACTCAAACAACTCTTAAGTAAGTCTCAGTAAAATGAAGTTGTACTTGGTCCTTTGGTTGTTTTGAACAAAAAAGCTTCTAATAGTTTTGCTATAAGGTAAGAAGCACTTACTCTGAGTCTCTTTTCAATGGAGTATTGTTAAAAAATGCTGAAACATTTAAATTATTTATTTCTTCAAATTTAAAGCTACAGGTAGGAAAAAAGTTATTGACAGGAGCAAGACTGCAAGAGATTATACCATACTCTTTATCCAGAATATGATTAGACAATTCTTTTGTGTCGTCTGCAACAGAATTTGCTGTTAGTACCACTTCCATGCAGGCGCAAGCGTGGCTCTTGGAATGTTCCAAGGGACAGCTTACTAGCCCACTAGAAAAAAGATACTTGCTGAGAATCCTAAAATAAGAACAGATTAGACAACGCTACAGCTTCCTTATATTTGTAGTGTGGATTTATATCAAATTTTTTCCCCTTGAAAGAATTTTTTTTTTCCCAGACTTGTTTCTGTGCTAGTTGGGACCTGCAAGCCAGGTCAGTAAGTGCCACAGCTACTGTGGTGTAAAATTTCTTTAATCAAGCTTTTTTTTTCAGTCCCGAAAAAGAAACGGTGTAATTTTGCCCAGTTAATGGCAAAGTCTTCTGTTCTCCAAACCCCTTTCTCCCTTTGTGCTTCAGCTTCGCTTTTGTGCCCCGTTTAGGATAACAGCTTCCTCTACTTGGGGAGCTGTACCATGAGAAGATGTATTTATAGTAGAGTGTTCTTTCTCAGTAGCATATCTTTTTTTCTTCTCCCTCTGCTAGTTGGAGAACAGACTCCAAAGCTGAGTCTGAACCCTTGTGTCTCAGGTGTCCTTTATTACAGTTCCACTTTGTTCATCCTAGGATAGATACATGTATTTGTTGTAAAATAAAAAGTATACATTGTCAGTTTCTTAATATTTTTATCTGATTTGATGAATATTACTTTCACAGCAGATGGCAAAATAAAGCAAAGATGGAAAACACTCAAGTGTCTGCTGCTGCCTTGAGCTTATTACTAGCATGTATTTATGTACAGTTTGCAGTCCTCTGTCTTTTGGGGGTGAGGGTGGCACATTGAGCATTGAGAGAAGAGTGCAAAATACGTAGTTTCCTGTCTAATAAATTTTTTTTCAATTAATCTTCAAACAGTTGGAAATTTGCAGCTGGGAAACTGCAGTTAGAAAGGAACGGCTGTGCTTTCTCTTTGTAGAGTCAGTCTTAGCTCCCTATTCATTAGCTCCCTATTCATGAACCTTTCTTGTATTTTTAAATTTTCCACAGACAAAGAATTAAACATAAGCCAACACTGAAATAAGTTCAAAAAAGAATGCAAAATAAATCTCTCTAGGAGCATCACTGTCTTAACTAAAGATAATGTGCATATGTTTTGCAGACCCTGATTAAAATGCATACTTGTTTAAGCAAGACTTGGGTTGCAATCAGCAGTGGTATCTTGTTTACATATCTTTCTGGGGAGGTAGTAGTTATACAATATTTACAGTTTTGTCACCTGCTGGTGGTTTTGACATGGATTTTATTTTGGGTAGGATGAAGCTGTCATTGGGAACTGATGTCAGAAGTACTTCAATTTTTTTATAATATCAAATTATTTATAAGTGTGAGTTTGGGGACTTGGGAATTTGGCATTTGCTCATTCATAATTTAATTGCCTTGAGGGCTGGGTTAAGGACACTATTATCTTACTGTTGTTTAGAAATGGACTTCAGAAAAAATAAATGCAACAAATACTGGAAGTACTTGAAATTTACTCTGGCTCTTCTAATGATGAAAGAATTAACGCTTGTATCATCCTCATCTAGCAGCTGAACTAACCTGAATAATGTAAATAATGATGTGTGAGAGTGTTTAAAATACTAGCATTCTTAATAGAAGATAGGCAATTGGCAAAAGGTCATTTTCCATGTGAATATTAAAAAACAAAGAGAGTCTCTTTTCTCTAAGGTGATGACTTCATACTAAAAAGAAGTGTGAAGAATCTCATTTAAAATATGTAGACCTGACGTTGTTCATTTATCCAAAATTTATACTCTGTTCTAGAAGACAAATTCCACAGAGTAATATGCATCGTTCTATTGCATTGTTGGTTAAGGTGAATTAACTCCATGGCTTCAAGTATAATTTAGCTTTTTAGGTCACTGTCTTTAGTATTCCAGTTCCATGTGCTTGAAAATCTACCCACTGTGTATGTTAATTTCCTTCAATTATTATTGTCTGATTATTTTTTTTTTCCTAGATTATGGGATGATGGAATTATTGATCCAGCTGACACAAGACTAGTTTTGGGCCTCAGTCTCAGTGCAGCATTAAATGCACCTACAAAGAAGACAGAATTTGGGATTTTCAGGATGTAAACTTCAATGTACTCTCAGAATTGCCTCTGTATATTTTAATTGGGCTTGGAGAGCAATCTCGCTACAGTGTCGAGGTGATTAAAAAATAAAGATCTGTACAATGCTATTTTTAATGGAAATGTCCTAATTATTTATTTTCCCTTGGTAATCGTCACACAGTGCTTCAGTGTTTTGATGCTCATTTGAGATCAGTCACTTATAGTGCTTGTATAACACTGCATTGCATGAACAAACTGCAAATTCTAGCATTATGTTTAATGTTTGACAAGAAACGATTGACACTACCTCTTATATTGACACTACCTCTTATATTGACACGACCTCTTATATGAATAAATCTGCAAAATAAGCTATATACTTGGTGCTTATCACTTCCTGTATTTCTTTTAATTCTTCTTTGTAAAACGTCCACATTTGCTAGTAAATAATTTTTGCAAATAGAAGTGCTGTAAGGGCACCCAGGGAGTTCAACACAGCATGAAATTACAGATTTAACACAGCTATTGGCGTTTTGGCCTTTCTATGGCTTTCATCCAAAAAACATTGCTCTTGTGTATGGTTCCCTGAAGTCAAAGCAGCAAGAGAACCTGATGGGTGCATACTGTTTTCTGGAAGAGCTGAGGAGCATATGCTGGTATCTGTGGGCACTGCAGGTTGCTGAGAGCACTTCTGAAGAGAGGGGTTGGCTGCAAAGGTTTTTCAACATTTTGCTGTGTGATACTTCCGGCAATTTTAGTTTCACGAAGACAGACCGTTCTCCTGACGTGTATCAGTGCTTCACCCAGAGCACATGCCTGAATCCCTCTGACTTCAGGGCTGTTGGTTAATCTTGTTTATTTATTGTAGTTTGTTTCAGTGTAATGTTTTTCAAGAATTCAGTGTCTGTCATTTCATTTGTTCTCCATAGAAACATTGCATCTTGTAGAAACTAAATGCTTGGCGTGTAGCATGCCTAGAATAAGGAGGTAAATACTGTGCTAGCTGGGACTAGGAAGCTGATTTTATCTAGCTTTGCTCTATAGGTGCCCAGATGACCATTAGAAGACTGCTACATGGCAGAAATATTCTTGACTGAGAATCAAATCCAAGAAGAGTTAACATACATGGATGGAGGTGCTATCCTGTGCTGGCCTGCGGGGAGAAGAAGGGTCACTAATACAAGTGATCATCCTGGATAGCACACTAGCTGTAGTCTTCTGGGAGTTGTGTGGCAAAGGAGATCCCCGTGGGCCCAGGATGGGGAAGGAAGGTCTGCTAACTGCTGGCCTTCGCAGCTGTGTTTTGAGCAGATGCAAAAATGAAAATGAATGCCTTCTTCAGAAGGCAAGGACTGTCTGTATTACACAGAGCCCAGCGTACGTTGAGCTGTGGGGTCTCTGGTACACCTCTACGTTGCACCAAAAGACCAGTTTTCTCTCAGAGAAATGAGAGACCATTTCCCTCATTTTACTGAGAATAAATCTGTCCAAAACCTCGTGTGTTGTGTGCCGCTGGAAAGATTACCTCTGCAGGTCTGCACACATGTAGTCTCACTGTCACTCTCACATGTGTGTTCTTAGTATGTTAAATGCATATTTAGCAGGGAGTAATAGTTGTACATACTGCAGTAAATGGCAATAAGCCACAGAGCTGTGCTTTTGTGCCACTGATTCTTGTGTCACTACGCTAATTTGCAAACATGTTGGGCATGGCCCCAGGATTTCTCTATCCTGAAAGTACAGTGGCATTATTTATGGCTGCTGGACTTCTGAAATGTCTTCAGAAGTACCCTACTTTTAAAGACGTGTATATAAAATATAGCCAGGGAGAATAAAGGTTTCAGACCCTGAAATGATTGTTATTAATGGCTTCCAATAAAAAGAAACACTGTATTTTCTCCTACTACAGTCGAGTAATCAGTTCAGGCACTTGCTATCTTTCTGCTCTAAGTTAATGTGGGGGCCACTTTCCCCAGTCTGTTACCCCCAGAGCCCTAAGGAGTATGGCCTTTTTCTGCCAAGAAAATTGATCACTTCAGAATAATAATAGGGCTACAAGGATGGTGAGGGGACTGGAGCATCTCCCCTACGAGGAGAGGTTGAGGGAACTGGGCTTGTTCAGCCTGAAGAAGAGAAGACTGTGAGGGGACCTTATAAATGCCTACAAATATCTGAAGGGTGGGTGTCAGGAGGATGGGGCCAAGCTCTTTTCAGTGGTGCCCAGTGACAGGACAAGGGGCAATGGGCACAAACTGAAGCATAGGAAGTTCCGTCTGAACATGAGGAAGAACTTCTTCCCTCTGAGGGTGACGGAGCACTGGAACAGGCTGCCCAGGGAGGTTGTGGAATCTCCTTCTCTGGAGATATTCAAGACCCGCCTGGACAAGATCCTGTGCAGCCTGCTGTAGGTGACCCTGCTTCGGCAGGAGGGTTGGACTAGATGACCCACAGAGGTCCCTTCCAACCCCTACTATTCTGTGATTCTGTGATAATATTTTTGCTTTGAATATATTATTTCAGTGAGATTGGTAATGAAATCATTCTGAGTGGAAGACACTGACAGATAATCTTGGGATACAGGTAGTGGAAGTAGATACATTTGGGAGGATTCGTGCTTCTGCGAATGATAACTCCCTATCGCCAGTTACATCTGAAAGTACAGTTATTTGCAGTTACCAAACTTCTTCTTAATATGTGTGCAAGCGAGGTCAAAACATGTCTCTGAATAAGTAAGAATGTTCTGCTTTTGGAAACTTGTTAAACAAATTAAATTCATCAGCATGGGCTTAGCATCCTATCAGCATGTTCTTGTGAGGGGAGGTTACTGAGCAGGACCTTCACTGCAGGCAAAGGATTCAAGGAATCGCTACCGACTGTCGCTCCCCCACTGCGTGGCGGTCTGTGGCTGGAAAGGTCTAGCAGGTTAACGCGCTCTGCTTTGTACGCAGGCTCTGACTGTACGCGATGCACGCTGTGCATGGTGGCGCTCTGATGGCAGAGGTGGCCTCTTGCCGCCCAGAGGTTTGCGGAAAAACATTGTTCTGTGTGGACCCACCAGGCGCAAGGAGTTGGACCCTGTCCTCGTACCACGTTTGATGATGTTGGTAGATACGTTTATGCTGGGATATTACTCCATTACACAATTGTTCTCATTTTCCATTGGCATTGTTCTACTAGTAGGATATTTTTTTGATATTTAATGAAAGGCAACGTCAAATAAACCTAAATAAAAGGTAGCTGCTGCAGCATGGACATAGGCTTCCTGATGGCAGAGGCAATGCAAGAGCTGTGGGTGACTGCTTCAAGAATTGTTCTACCTGCCTCCGATATGTGCCACCTATTCACTGTAGCACTGGAGCAGCTCACAACCATTAATCTTTTTACTTACTGGAAAGGATGATACTTACGATGACACTGATTTTTCAGATGGAAGCTGAGGAGGAAGGGAAATGACTTTGCCATATCAAGTGCACAAGCTGTGGTGGACGAGGATCTCGAAATGGGTGCCGTAGGCTTCCAGGGGACCTTTCTGCTCCCATGTGGTCTCGCCTTGGGGATTGCTCTTCTCAGCTGTATGCCTTCGTCCTGTCCCAGAGCAGTGGCAAGGCCAAGAAGTTACCTAGTTCCAGCTCTCTCTGATATCTGGACATGGCCTATTTAAGGGAGGTCAACACTGGAGTGCAAGGAGTTTAAAAGGACCAATACTGTGAGCTGGAGGGTGTTTTCAAATGCCTCTGTTGAAGGGAATGGAATGCTGTGAATGAGGTGGGCTAAGCTGCTCCTCAGGTCCCTAGGGACTGTTGCAGTCATCAGGGTGCTTCTCCAGTTACCTGGGCTGAGATGGTGAATTCAGGATGGATTGTAAAAACCCAGCTGATGTCATTTTCCTTTTTATTCTCATGGCACCTAGGAACGTGCTGTGAACCACTGGGAGCTACAGTGTGGTCACCAACCAAAATCAGTGGCAGTTTGTACCGCAGACATCAAGGGCGGAGCCTCTGGTACATGGTCATTGTGAGGCTCGCGTGCCTGCTTCCAAGGCTGAAATCAGAGGTGGCTGGGGCATAGCCTCTGCAGCAGCTCTGCCCGCAGAAGTAGAGAGGCTATAAATGCAATTCCTGAGAAGCCACTGGGTGACTGCTCCCACCCCTCTTCCACCCATTGTGGGGCTGGTTTAATGGGGAATTTGTAGCCTCAGTGTTTGTGTTGGCATTTGTGCATGTGCTGTTCTTGTGAGAACCCATCTTTTATTTAGATGGTGTTTTTCCAATCTGTTAGTCATCGAGATGAATTGGTATCTCTTGCTGAAGCAGATGTTATCTTTCAAGTGTGCCTCCGGACTCAGTTATTGCTTCAAATGTGGCAGAACCCCAACTTATCTTAGATTTTCCTTGCTGTTCCAGATTTCAGCCAAAGAAATGTCTTGATTCAGAAAACCAACAGTGGTGTATTGTATTAACTCTGTTTTTTTAAAGTGAGGTTTATAAATTAAGGCAATTCAACAAAGCACTTGTAAAAGCCCGCTGCTTTTCAGCAAAGCCTTAAAGCATCCACTTAAAGCCAGATGTCTACTTCCATGGCTCTGATTCAGTAGAGCACTTGAGCAAATGCTTCACACTAATCTCTGTGGTCTAGTAGTCATAAAATCCATCCAACTTTGTGTCTGCGTCAAGCCAAAACTACAATACATAAATGCATCAGAACTGCTCAGTGGGTACCCCATTATTTTGACAGCAGCATCAACAGAAACCTCCATTATTTTCCTGCTTTTAGAAATACATTCAATTAATTGACAATGATGGAACCGTGTGATTATGAAAAGTATACGCCATGTACAACTTCAGAAACTATCCATTTGATACACAGATGTTAATGCACGTTGGCTGTCTCCTCTTTGTACCGCATCTGCACTAACATTCGTATGGGGAAAGCAAGTTAACTTTGAGAAGCTTGAATTTATGCATAGCTACAACAGAGCTATCTGAGGTCTGATGGCACATTGTGTAGATTATCTGGAGCTGAGCTCTGTAATGCTACAGACTCCCCTAATTTCATAGCCAGTTGTCTTATGACTGGCTACTGATGCTGCTGTCAAAAACTACCTGCCTTTTTGTGGCTGTAAACAGTGAT